CAGCCACTCCTCAGAAGGAAGGTTGGGCAATCCTACTTCCGTAGTGATACTGCCTTGGAAACCCAAGGAGGGGTCGCTATGAGTGGGGTTTGACTCGGCACATAACAACAACAACAACATTGTCCCAGGGAAGTTGTAAGTGAGGCTATCAGCTGAGAGGGAGAAGGACATAGAGGTGTGAGGAGCACTGATAAGGTCTGAACTGGTCATTTAGAAGAGTCAGGAGAGCAGAGGGGCAGGACTGCCAGGTAGCCTCCAGGGCCCACGTAAGGTCAGTGGTTGGTACTGGTAAGGTCCTCACTAGCTCTCAAAGAATAATGTTGCTGCACCCAATGGGAGACACCAATACCACTTTGGTTTTCTAACAAACCTTTGCTCTTTCGTCAAGATACTGGCTCTGAGATGAGGTCAGATTTCTATCTAACCCTTGTGGTCAATTCTTGAGACAAACAAGATCTAATCTCAGTTTTTCATTTCCTCTTTAGAAAAATAACTTCCCCTTTCTCCACTCTGACATCTCTCATTTCTGAGCAGAGTCAGTCTACGGACAGCAGGGAGCGTCCGCAGGCCTGATTAACAGCAAGAGCTGTTTGGGATTCCTGCTTAGGATGGAAGGGAGAGTTGAGAGACAACAGAGAAAGGCCTTGCGGTAGCTTTTGAAGTAGGGGGTGACCAACACAGCGCCCCCACTGGAATTCTTGGAAACCCTGTGTTTGCAGTCATTATAGACAGTTTTAATGCTTAACCTTATAAAAATTTTACAATCAGCAATACCCACACATGGTATACAATTCAAAAGAGAACGTGGTGAACTCTAAGTCTCCTCCCCTACCCCTGGCCTTCAGCTGTGTGGTCCCTTCTCTAGGCAACCCTTCTAGACAGTATCTTGTGTAGGCACTGATAATTTTAGCAACGACCAAAAAAGTAAAGGAGTGTGTGTGGGCAGGCCCATCTCGGCAGGCTGGAAATACTTACCCAGGAAACTGGATATCTATAAAATTCTTGGGCACGTAGCCTTCTTGGCTTCCAAGCTCCGCTTTGAACCACTCCTCTTGGTTACTTAAGATCTACGTGGAAAAGAATGAAGGACAAAGACACTGCTGGGAGAGCTTCACAAAGCAATGGAAGGGGACTGCAGGGCAGCATGCATGGTGGGTTTGGATTTAGAGGAAGATCAGCTAAAGGAACTTAAATGGCTTTTCTAGGATTTACCCCAGGCTCAGCAGGGGAGCAGTGAGCTTGTCTTTGGAGTTTGGTTTCTCTTGACCCCAAGTTATTTCTGTCCCTTGTGCCACCCATTCATGGCTTGGCCTCCTAGCCTCAGCACTGAGGTATTCCCTTGAATCCTTCTCCTTTGGAAATTCATTTGTTCCAAATCTCAGCACCTTAGGGTCCTCTGCACAAAAGGTGGGGAGTCAAGAGTGCTGCCCCAGGGGACTGTCCTTCTCTGTCAGGAAACCAGAAAACTTTAAAGATTTTATTATTATTTTCCAAACAAGCAGATTAGAACTTAAGCATCCAAGTGGAAACTAGCTTTGAAAACTTTGGTGTCACATTCTATGCGTTCCACAAAGAGTTTGGACAAAAGTCAAGATCCTTGGGAGCGCCCTTTGTAATCCTGCTTTAAGAGTCAGATGACAGGAAACCAAGAACGCCTGTGTTCCTAGATGGTGCTCCTTGGACTGTGACCCAGGTGTTATCATCTACCTTGGTGGCTCATATCACTCACCAGACCTGGCTCTCTGGAACTTCTGGTTATTTCAGAAAACGAAATTCACCGTTCAAGATCTGCCCTCCCACCCCCATCCTGAGAATGTTTCTAAAATAAGCACCATAGACTTGAACAATAGTTCTAAAAGAGATGGCAGAGCAAAACTATGGGAGAACCTTGATTGGACCACTGAGATAACCACCCCAGGAGCCCTCTTCCTCCTGGACTTTGTATGAGAAATAATACATCTTCATTTAAGTCCTTTTTTAGACGTGCTAACAGGAAGAGCAGAAGATGGGCAGGAAGGACTACCTGCAGGAGAGGCCATCAGGGCTGAGGTGCTCAGGCAATGCGAGGAATTTCCCGGGTGAAGTCAGATGGCAAAAGAGCGACTCCTAGGCTGTAACAAAGTGGTGTGTTCCGGGCACCACATGCTTCAGGATGGCTGGAGTGTGGACTAGGGATCCAGGAGCAGACAGAGGGAAGCTAGAAGAACAGGGCCTTGTGGCCCATGCTGGAAGGTTTGGAGTTTAGCTTGAAATTTCTGGGATGCCATGAAAATGTTTAAGCAGGGAAATAACATGCTAAGAATTAGATTTAAGAAAGAGCACTGTATCTGGAGCAAGAAGATGCCTTGGAGGGGCAAAGTTGTGGGAGAAATGGGAGGGAGATGAGTGCAGCCACCGAAGCAAGAAGAAGAGAGGACATATTTTGGAGGCATTGGTGTGGTGGTAGTGGTTCAGTGGTAGAGTTCTTGCCTTCCATGCAGGAAACTGGGATTGATTCACAGCCAGTGAATCTTGCGCACAGCGACCACCCATCTGTCAGTGGAGGCTGGCGTGTTGCTATGATGCTGAACAGAGGAGCTTCCAGAGTAAGGCAGACTAGGAAGAAAGACCTGGCCATCGATTTCTGAAAAATCAACCAACGAAAACCCTATGGATAACAATGATCTGGGCCTGTTGTCCATGGGGTCACCATGAGTCTGGAGCCACTTGACAGCAGCTGACAAACATAGGAGGTAAAATGGGCAGGACTTGGTGCTTGTTTGTGGGAGCGAAGGGAGAAGGGGGATTCCAGGAAGGCTCTGGATTTATGGCTCAGGAGACTGAGTGGGTGGTGATACCTTTTACTAAAACAGAAAATTCAGGAGGGTTTGAAGAAAAACTTGGGGACTTCAGATTGCATGTGGGTGAAGGTGAGTTGCCCATGGGACCATGTAAGAAGAAATTCCCAGTGTGTGTCTAGACTCAGGAGAGAGATCTGACTGGAGTTTGAGATCTGGGAGTCATCCTAGCACACGTGGAGTTGAAATCATGGGTTTCATGGTTTTCTCTCTGCTAGAGAAAGGAAAGAAGAGAACTAAGTACTGAGACCCATTGCTATCAAGTTAATTCCGACTCATGGCAACCCTGTAGGACAGAGTAGAACTGTCCTATAGGGTTTCCAAGGCTATAGTCTTTATGAAGCAGACTATCTCATCTTTCTCCCCTAGAGCAGCTGGTAGGTTTGAACTGCTGACCTTTCAATTAGCAGCAGTGATGATCTATTTTGAATATCACTCCCCAGGTGGAAGAAACAGGACAGAGCTATGAGTTTGGAATCAGAAAACCAGACCTGCTTTCTAGCCTGGCTCTGTCACTAGCTGTGTGACCTTGAGCGAGTCAATTAACCGTCTGAAAAATGGGAATAATCATAACCCCTAGCCCTCCAAGAGCTGAGCTGAGGGTCAGATGAACCCTGGTACATGAAAGGCCTTCAGAAAGTGTCTACTCTCTCTCTCTCTCTCTTTCTATGTAATTCTGTAGAATGTGATATTCTTATGAGAGAGGACTCCAGCTCTGAAGGACATGGAAGGATTTATAAGTTCTTTCAAGTATTCTATGTGTATGTTTTGAATTTAATCGTTTGTTCTGAAGAAATAAAAGTGTGTCCCATATTTGAGTTCTAGGATTGCTAAGAACAGAAAACTTTATAGCTGCGAACTTCAAATGTGACTGTTGGGTATCACTGAGGGCGTGTGGGTATGTGTACACTGGGGGTGGCCGGGAAGCAGAAAATCTAGGTCAAAAGAAGAGCTAGGAGAAATGGCACCAGGCATCGTCTTCATCTGTAGAACAGGCCCTTTCAATCTGCACCTTCTCTTCTGAATTTCCGGCCTTTCCCATCACATGGGGATGGTGTGTTTGGCCAGGGCAGATGTCATATAGAAAGGTGAGTGGGAATGAGGTAGAGGAGGCCATTTGGACACTGGCTCATTGGGGTAACAACTACTCTTTGTCCTTAGTTCTCTGACCTGAAACCAGCTGTAATTTTAGTAATCATGGCTTCTACCCATCAACCTCCTCTTGCAACTGAGAGATTATCCCACAATGCCTGCCATTTCTCTCCACCACCTGGTGCTTGGCCAGCATCTGAGATTGTGTTTCCAGGGAGTTGAATTTATAGGCTTTTTATGGCATATAAAAGGCAAGGTTTTCTTTAAAAAATTGCATTTTCTGCAAAAAAGTCCTTGGGGGGTGTTGGTTTCCTCCTGCCGTTGCTGGCCCAGGGCCCCGCACTTCCTGTTCTTCTCATCTCCCCATCTCTTCGGTTCCTCCTATCTCTGTGCACATCGTATAAACCTGAGGCATGGGGTTCAGCCTCAACAACTGAAGTTCTGCACTTAAGTTTACGGTGCCTTAGTTCTTATGCTGTGGACTAAGAAAATCATTTTCTGGGGTACATGGCCTGAGAATAAGTTAAACGTGGGAAGAGAAGGGCTGAATGTACGGTTGGAAGAATTTTCAAATTGGATGGAATTATAGCTCTTTGAGACAGAGCAGAAATCTGAAGTACTGAAGCAGCTAATTATGTGGGATTAACTCTTGGTGCTTGTAGGGCGCTGTTTCAGTGGGAAGAAATGGGGTCAGGCTAGATGCATTACAGAAGCAGAGAGACATAATGGACTGAGTCAAGAGACATTTTCCAAAACAACTGGCAAATTCAAATGGGTAATGCAAGTCACATGCTTGAGTATAATTGCGGGTACGGAGACTGTAACATAAACCGGGAAAAGCCTGCTCGTGACTTTGCAAAGAGTTCTTTCACAAGAGTTTTCTACCCAGTCCACTATCTTGTTTCCATTCCCTGCATTCAGCATCTAGTGAGCACCTCCTGTTTGCATTTAGGTTCTGGGAATACAGCGAAGGATGAGCAGGCGCCTTGGCTCTGGAGAGCTCACAGTCTGGGGGGAATGGGTGGGTGGTGAGCTAGTCAGATATTTGCACTGTCCAATGAAAACCTCTGTGCATCTTTAGCACTGAAGACCAAACAGGAGACCTGAGCATCACAGAAGTGAATTGCTGGGACAGTCAAGAGCTGGCTTTGAAAATCATTGGGAGGCTCCTGGGGCATGTGACCCATCTCTGGAGGGGAGGGACAGACATCTAGTCTTCACACAGGACACACTGGCAGAGACCTAGCCACCATCATGCAGACATCTGAGGCAGTTCAGCCAGCAAGCCTCTCTGTCTTTCTCCTTACTGCTGCAGTTGCGGTGGACAGAATTTGAAGAGGAGGCAGCATTTGGCTTCATGATGGAATTCCAAATGAGCACATAGAAATACAGTTTAACAACTCAAAAGATATGAACTGAGCACCTATTTGGGGCCATGTATTGTGTTAGACATTGGCAAATAATAACAAAGACGAAGCCAGCATGGCTCTGCTCATGAGGAGTTCACAGACAAGTGGAGGAATTACCATTCATTGATTCCTCATCAAATACCAAGGAGGGTAAACCTTGTGCCAAGTTACTGTTCTAAACACCGAGGCAGACACGATCCCTGTCCTGTCAGCGTTAGCGGAGTTCTCTTCGCCTAGTGGAGAGACTGATACGTAAACGGAGGACTAAGATCCCTGGGGAAGGGCAGCAATGAGGGATGGATAGACAGGGTGCGTGGGAACACAGAGCTACAGAGTGCCCATAAATAACTGTCATAGGAGACAAGATATGGTGCCCGGCATGAAGTGTCTGTGAAACGTTGTAGAAGAGCTGTCGAGGGAGCGATTTTGGTGGGGAGGGTCAGTGAAGGTTTCAGGCTGATGTGGTAAAATATGTGTGTGCAGGAAAAGGGCATTGGAATACAAGGGAGAAGCTGAGGAGGGCTAGTGGGGATAGGCTGTGTATCACAGTGACCCAGGAGCACGAGGCACACAAGGTAGGTGTGTGTGTGTGCACCCAGGTGCATGCAAAATGAGGTGGGACACTGGGTTTAGATTTCAAGCAATTGGTCATAGGGACCCAATGAATACTTCTGAGCAAAGCAAGTGATAGGATCTCATTTGTCTTCTAGAAAGATCCCTCTGGGCCTAGTGTGTAGAATGACTGAAGGAGGAAGTGATAGGAGGCAATGAAGTCAGTCAAGGGCTACGCCAATAGTCTGAACTGTCAGAGGCAGCAGAAATGGATAACACTGATTAACAGAGTGACTGTGATCAAGCTAATCCTTTCCACGGGCCTTCAAGACTTGTCTGCCTCCATGGAGAGAGGCAGACCCTGAAGCTCAGAGATGGGCAAGTGACTTGCCCAAACCAAATCAAACTCACTGCTGTCGAGTTGAATCTGACTCATAGCGACCCCGCCTTGGGTTTCCAAGGTGGTATTAGTTCAGAAATAGATTGCCCAGCCTTCCATCTGAGGAGTGGCTAGGGGGTTTGAACCGCCAGCCTTCTGGTTTAGTAATCAAATGCCTTAGGTACTATGCCACCAGAGCTTCCAAGTGACTAGCCCAGGGCCACACAACTAGTAAGCAGGGATTCAAACTCTGATCTCTCTGGCTCCACACTTCTTTCTCCTTTTTATTGCATCACACTGCTTTCCAGTGAAGAAGGGAAATAAACACACACACACACACACACACACAATTGTTGTTGTTAGGTTCTGTTGAGTCGACTTTTGACTCACAGCAACTCTACGTGACAGAGTTTAACTGCCCTATATGATTTTCTAGGCTGTCATCTTTATGGGAGCAGATGGCCAGGTTTTTTTCCCACAGAGCAGCTGGGTGGGTTCAAACTCCAATCTTTATGTATATATTGAAGACAAATATTCCGAGTAGAGTACAGTGCTTAGGAAAAAGGCTTTGCAATCAGTCAGAGCTCCATCCAGGTCCTGGCTCAGTCACATTGTAGTTGTGTGGCCTTGGAAAAGTGATTTAAGCCCTTAGCATCAGTTTTATAAAATGGAGGAAAAAGTAGTTCCAACCTCATTGGTTTGCTGAGAGGTTGAAATGACACCTGCAGAACTCGTAGGCAGGTCCTGGTCCGGAGCCGGTACCCAGAAGATGTTAGTCACTGATCACCAGGATTTGGCAAGGGAGAAAATAATAATGGAGGCTTCTAGTTTGGTGACTGGCTTATGGTGATACTGAGCATGTGGATAAGGGAGCCGTTTGGGTGGAAGTGAAGGTGAGGTGGGGGGGTTGTTGATTTTAATTCTGGACCTCCTGAGTTAGGAGCTGGTATCCATGTGGTGACATCCAGCAGACAGCTGGGAATGTGGGTCTGGAGTTCAAGAGAGGTCAGAGCTGGAGCGAGAACCATTGACTTGAGGCTCTTTGGCACAGAGGTGAGAGGAGAAGCCAGAGAAGTGGATGGGGTGGCTCAGAGAGAGGAGAAGACTGGAAAGCCAAGGGCAATCCCTTCAGGGAAGCTTATATTCCAGGATAAAGAGACCAAGAACCAAACAGAGACCTAGATGTTCTCCAGAAGAGAGGAAGAGAACCGGGAGAGTGAAGCACCACTACAGCAAGGGAGAAAAGTTTCAAGGAGCCCAAGCCCACTGCCATGGAGTCGATTCTGACTCATGGCGACTCACATTGGGTTTCCATGGCTGTAAATCCTTACGGAAGCAGATTGCCTGATCTTCCTCCCATGGAACAGCTGGTGAGTTTGAACTGCTGACCTTCTGGTTAGCAGCCCAATGCCTTACCCACTATACCACCAGAGCTCCTTCGTTTCAAGGAGAGGAATAGTTAATAGTCAAATTCTATAGGCATTTTAGTAGGATGAAGACTAAGTGGTCATTATATTTCCCATTAAGGAGCTCACTGGTGGACTTTAGGAGAGTGTTAGGGGTAAAAGGTAGATTGTAGAGGGCTGTGGGGATGAAGGGGAAATGAAGGGATGGAGACGCCCAGTGTAGACAATTCTTCCCAGTATTGGCAGCAAAGAAGAGGAAAGAAGTTAGAAGCTGGAGTGGGAACCAGAGTTGAACAAATATTTTTCTTTTTCTGGGGAATAAGGAAAACTTGCAATGAAAGTTTCTATCTGCAATGGAAGATAAGGAGTGGGTTTGGTCTCAGCCTCTTTTGAGCAGAGGATGCTCTAGAGTGGTTGATAATTACATGGTCACAGAGCCCCATAGAGAAAGAAGGGACTTCTTAGCGTCTGACCATTCTCTCTGCGATCTTGGTAAGATCCTAAAGAAGTGAAAGCCACCTTTCCCTAGGTCATCAGCAGTCCAACCAATATTTTGATCTTGTGATGCTTCCACATTGAAGGCAAACTCTTTGCAACCCCATTACTAGATTTTGCAAGTTGAGAGTAGTTAGAAGGCTAAATACCAGGGGTGTTCAAATTCTCAAACAAAGTTTGTGCTCCAAGGACACTTTTGACTCACTTTCTTACATGCCAAGAGGGTTCTTTCTATTAGCAAATGTAACTCTCGGTGATGAGACATTGGTGGCCTCAGTGCCCCTGGGAAGTAGTGCTGGGTAGGGGATGCTGGCATCACATACTCCCTAATGGGCCCTTGAAGGGCTTTTGCTCTTGCAAAACACAGGTCTAACTAAGTTGCAGAGCCTACAAGCGTGGTGCATGAAATACGGGAGGACAAGTCCTCTTTAGCTCAGTAAGTGGCCACTACAACTCAAGTGCAGGCTGAAGACAAGTTTAAGATGCCCTGAGTATGCATGGCCTTTGTTGAGCCACCTCCCCTCCACCTGCTTTCCCAGGCATTCTCCACTTGCACAGTCTACTGGTAAGTTCCACTGTGCTGAACCTCATCATGGTCCCCGAATTCAGCATAAGCCTCCGCATCTCTGAGATCTAGCTCATGCTGTGCCTTCTATCTGGACAGCCTCCCACTGTCCTGCCTGGTGAATTTATCCAACAAGCCCCACTCATCTTTTCATATTCCCTGACACTGGTATTGCCACACATTCAAGGTGGAAAATCATCTGTTCCCTCACCTGTACTCCCTGAGTGCTTAGATGAGAGCACCTGTAACAGCCCTTTAGATGAAGTTGTTTCTTCTTCCAAACCACAAGCATCCTGAGATAAGGATGGTGGCTTATTTGCATTTCTGCTGCCTCTGCCTTTGTGGCACCCAGTCTGGCACACAGGTGCTCTCAAGAAAACCTTTTTGATGGAGGTGAACCTCCATCATACCCAACACTGTTGGAAAAAGAACTCTGAAGTTCTTAAGAGACCAAAGCATGGATTGCTAGATTAACTCAGTGACCAGACTCCAGTAACTGAAACTCCCTCTTGCTCCCCCGGGCCTCACATCACCTACCTTGAGAACATCTCCGGCGTGAAAGCTCAGCTCATCCTCACCGGAGGCAGTGAAATCAAACTTGGCGATGGCTTCCATGTTGTAACGTGAAGCTGGAAGAGAAAGAATGTGGTCATTGTGCCTGTGTGCCAGGAGAAGGGCAGGGGGAAAGGTGGTGAGATGCAGCAGTCTTAGCAGTTCATAGGGGAGTGGTGGGAGGTCTTCACTGGACAGTGAGACGCACAGTGCGGGCTGTTGTTTGCATGAGGAGCTAGCAGAGCCTGTAGGATCTAGTTCCAGGTCCTTCTCTGGGTCCCCAGATACTGGAACAGGAGGTGCAGACCAGTGACAGCCTTTCCCCTCTCCTTTCATCACCCTGTGCCTATCCTGGCCTGTCCCCATTTCTGAGGCATCTGTTTCCAGTTGATAAGGATGGAAGACGTGCTATCTCTAACTGGAGGCTCAAGGGGCTGGAAAGGCTGTTCTGTAAACACTGTCCCTTGGCAGCTATATTTAACCAGGCAGTGTTAATTAGACAGATGCCATTTTCTCTTTTACATCTGAATCATTTAAGAGAATTAGACAGCAGTGGCCAGTGGGGAACAGAGCGTCCTTCTGCATGACTTGAGAGTAGAATACATTCTGGTCTTGGAGCTCGAAGTCTCGATTGATCAGACTGCTTATTTGTATTATTTTAGTGAAGTCAAGGACCTCTTGGGAACTTTGCCTTTAACAGTTCTGAGTTGAGATACTGAGCCCTGCTACTAAAGCATGGCAGTGTGTAAAGAGAAATGAGTCAGCCGACAGGCTACAGTTAGTATGAAACATGGTTGTTTTCCTTTTTAGGAGACACTGTAATAGGAGCTCCGGTGGTGTAGTGCCTGAGGCATTAGACTGCTAACCAGAAGGCTGGCGGTTCAAACCCACCATCACCCCTACTCCTCAGAAGGAAGGTTGGGCAACCCGACTCGACGGCAGTGAGAGGAAGTAATAGTAGCTCCTGGTGGAGCAAATGGTTAAGTACATGGCTGTGAACTGAGAGGTTGGAGGTTTGAGTCTGTCCAGAGATACTTTGGAAGAAAGGCCTGGTGACCTACTTCTGAAAAAATATCAGCATTGAAAAACCTGTGGAGCACAGCTCTACTCTGACAGCATGGGGTCTCCAGGAGTTGGGGTCGACTCCACAGTGACTGGAAACTAGAGGATGTCATAGGAAGAGAGCTGGGTTGAGGCCTGGTTTCATTGCTGAATACCTGTATGATCTTGGGCAAGTAATTAAACACCTTGGAGTCTCGGTTTCCTCATTTGCGAAATGGAGATCATAGTACTCAACTGGGCTCCAGTGGCATAGTGCCTAAGGCATTTGACTGCTAACCAGAAGGCTGGTGGTTCAAACCCACCAGCCACTCCTCAGAAGGAAGATTGGGCAATCCACTTCCCTAATGATACCGCCTTGGAAACCCAGGGAGGGGTCGCTATGAGTTGGGTCTGACTCCACGGCAGTGAGTTTTGTTTTTTGGTTATTTTAATACTCAACTAATAAGGTTATGAGATTCAATAATCCATGCGAAGCCTCATATTATACAAAATTGAGTGTAATTTATGTTTTCAAAATCATTTTCATGACTTTGCTTTCCCCAGCAAAGGTTGCCTGGCCAGAAGCAGCCCAAGTTCCCTCTGATCTCTCGTATCTCCTACAAACTTTTCGCATTACGATTTGTTGCTTATTCACCATGACCGTCAAATTCTTCCACTCCCTGCTAAGACAGCTTACTGTCAGGACACAGTCTCAAATGCTATTGTCTGGCATTTCACATTTTTCAGAATTTGCTTCAGTACCAAACCCTTCAGGTTAGTTTATGAGTCACCCTCAAACCTGATAGATTTTCAATCACCAGTAAATTGGTACCACACTCGTGTTCGCAGTGGGAATTCCTGCCCAAGTAGGCAAGATTTGGGTAAATCAGGAAGGTGGCAGCTTGTGGGAGGGTGTGGGGTGTGGAGATCAGGGGATTAAAGCCTACTGCAGTTGCGGCGATAGCAAGGAGGCCTTGTTTCTCTGATTTTCCATATCTGCTTGGCCTTCCAAAGGTAATTTGTAGATATGAATATTACCAATCACAAAAAGAGATATAAAGAAAAAAAAAAAATCAGGAGCCAAAGTAAAATGTCATCGTTAAACTCTCTGAGCCTGGATTTATTTCCAAATAAAAGAAAGACACTTTTTATACACTTTCTTCGAGATCTATCCGTCTACGGCAAATTCAAATGGCTTTGACCTAGAATGACCGCCCCAGCAGGAAGGAGTATTGTGCCCTCCGGTGTTAATGCTAACTGTCTTCGCTGACGTGATTCACCCCACTACTTTAACATGCAAAGCTGATCCTAATTAAGGCCTTGCTCCAGTTTGAAGGGAGTCTTGGCTTGCATGGGTCACCCTCACGGTATCAACAGTAGACAACGGGCCCCTGCAGAGATCAAGTGTCAGGTGAATGGTCCTGAAAACCAAGATCCCATTTCTATGCAAATTTACCTTAAAAAGCAGGATGGAGACAAGGGGAGGGCAAATGCTAAGCATATTAGAAAGTGACATAAATTAGAGACGGAAAAAATACCGAAGGCATGTTTAAGATATGACCTTGAGCTTGGACTGTCTCGCCAGCATTACATGTGACTCAGATCAGGTTTGGTCACTTGGCCCAGGCTGGCTGTAAGTCACTTGGATGAGAAGCAGAGTAGAGGCACTTTCATCGCACTTCCCCCAGGAGGCAGGCAGTGTGGCAAAGCCTGACACACGCACATCAGAGTCCCCAGCTTATAATATTAATCCCGGCGCAGAAAACCCAATTAAACATGCCCGCTCTTCATGCAAGCACTCTGGGGGGGGGGTGCGGGGAGGCTTTTGGTCCATTTCCACTTGTGAAGTTACAGTCTGTTCCACTGCTGTTTGGAAGGAGGGCGAGGCTATGGTGGGGGAGGGGACGCTTTGTCAGCCCTCCAATCACAGGGCTCCACCAATTCTTCCTGCCAAGGGAAATGCATGTGCCCCACGCCCACCCCCAGGGGCCAGCTCTGTTTGATCCTAAACAGGCCTGCGAATTTCCCTCTCGTTTCACTGGTCTCCAAAACCAAATTAACACCAAACCCAATTAATTTATCCAGTATTTGGTGTTAGGCACCTTAGCGTCGCCCCCCAACTCCTGTCTAGACCTCATGCACTTTGGGCCTGGACCATTTTTATCCCTAGGGTTTTCACTGGGGTTTATTCCTGGTCCGGCTTAGGCTCCACTAAAATCTCTTCAGCATCGCAGCAACACTCTGACAGATGGGTAGTGGCGGTGGCTGCGCCCAAGGCGCACTGGCCAGGACCGAACCTGGGTCTCAGGCATGGAAGACGGGAATTCCACCAGTGAACCATCACTGCCTCAGCATATCCGCTCTTCATCTCCTTGTTTTAGGATCTCCACCTGCCACCCCACTATGCACCCCACCTGGGGGACAAACGTGATGGCGATAAAAACCAGGTGGAACAATTCCCAGAGGGGAAGAAGAGAAGACCAGAGAAATAGAGACCAAGGAGGGAGGGAGGGGGCAGGAGCATCCTGCAGACAACGGAGCCTTCTGCCGCCGTCTGCAGTTTCAATGCTTCCGACCTCAGGGGGAGGTGAAGAGACACCTCTTCAGAGATCCGAACAGATGGATGAAATGTGCTTTCCCTGCCAGCGCCCAGCTTTAGAGAATGGCTGACATGCTACATGCCATAGTCTGTGAGAAGCAACAGGGTCCGAGGGCAGCCAAGCCACGCCCCGTCAGCGTCTCCCAGCAGCCAGCTCTGCAGTGTGACCGTGAATCCGTCCCAGAGCAGTGCCCGACGGCCTTCTGATGTGAGCTCTGCTTCTCAGGAGGCTTCTGCCTCTCCTCACTTCCCCCTTGAAGGCTCGCACCGACTCTCCGTTAGCAGCCAGCCACAGGTGGTCCAGAGGGACGGTTTTCCTCTGCCCTTGATGCCCTTGATTTTCCATGTAAGCGTCTCCCACCACCACAAAGCCTGAGAACTATTCGGACAACAGACAGGGCATGCTCAGCTCCTTCTAACACACAGTCAGCACAGAGGATGAAAGCAAAAGTCACCAGACAGCTCTTTAAAATAACCTCCGTTTGAAAGCCAGACTCAGTGGCTTTGTTCAGAAACATGTGGTTACCAGTAACATGGGATCGGGCAAGAAAATGCCTGAACAATTCCAGCTCCTCTTGAGTTGGCTATGAACAGCCAGGGCTTATGTTTTGCACATCACAGAAGAAGTGCCATTGCATAATACCACAAAGCTATGTGAAGATTCAGGCTCAGGACTGAACCAAAGAGGGAGACAGGGCCTAAATTGACCCCATTTCCTATTTCTTGGGGAACACTCCAATTTGAGTACTTACACGACTTGCCCCAGTTTTAAGATAATGTCTTAAAAAAAAAAAAAAAAAAAAAATTACCCTTTATAAGTATTGCCTGTAGCCTTTTTATCAGGTCATTATTAGCAAGAGGGGCGGTGCAAACAGTTTGCACTCAGCCAGTAACCTAAAGGTTGGCAGTTTGAAAGCCCTGGCAATCTGCTCCATATAGTTAGAACTGAAAAAACCCTAGGCAGCGGTTCAACTCCATAGCACACGGCGTTGCAATGAGTGAGTTTGTTTTTGAGAAAGAACTATCAGAATAGTGAAGAGTTTACATTTTAGGACTTTTGCTGGAGCTACCAAGAAGAGCTTAGCTAAAAATGTAAAATAATGCCAGCTCTCTAGCTTCATATAATGCAGGGACTTAGGATCCACAGTCTGTACTTGTCAGGTAAAGCCCCTCTTGGAAACAATGAGAAGGTAGAATGCTTACTCTCCCCATTGAATTCACAAGGTCAGCTCAATTACTTTGCAGAAGTAGGAACCCTTACACTGCCAGGAAAAAAATGATTATAGCTGAGCCTCACTGTACACAATAGGAGTGTTTTGGAAAAATTATTATGAATAGAGTGTTTGTAAGGGGAAGCCTATTAGCATGCACCACGGAGGCCTGTTCAATAAAGGAACCTTGCGGTGCATCCCTTCATACAATG